CATATAATATATATATATATATATATATATATATATATATATATATAAAAGATTGTATCATATGGCCAAAAGTGCAAATATAGCAAAAGTAGAAGGGCTAGCTAGCTAACTAGGTAGCATTAGTTATTAATCTCCCAAAACATAGTGGGAATAGGATGAGACAGACTTTCATGTCAAAGGAATCAAGAACTATTATTATAAAAAGAAGAAGCAAGATCCATTGGAAGACGACAAATATGTCAAATTATTTAAAAGAAAGAGAGAAAAGAAGGTGAAAATAGGAAGGGACTTTATTATAGCCTATCAAATAATTAAGAATGGATGGGACTCTATGTGAGTGGGAGTATCGCACAAACACATGTACACCTACTTAGTGTAAGCAAATAATATGGGCCATTGTCTTTTTATCAATATGAAGGGGCAGAGGAATTATATAGTAGGTGGAATTGGTAATTTTTATGAAATATATCTTCATTTTTTTAAAATAACAACTATTATGAAATATCTATTTAGTATAAGAACGATAAGTAAAATGATTCAAAGAGAACACTTCATAAAAACTAGTTTGTTTTCTCGAAATCTATAACTATCAATGAATGAGCATAAAATTTCTTCCAAATAAAGAAGTTCTCGCAAAGAGAATGAAATTTTAAATGTTGCTCCGTGTTCCTCTAAAGTGAACGTATGGTAAAAAATCTCTATGTATAGTTGGATAATCGTATCGTATAAAGTATGCTATTGGACATTGGTTTAGATTTTATTATTTGATAAATTTAATCATAATAGTTGACATCAAATCATTGCTAGATTACTTTAAAATAGCCATATTTATAATAATGGAAGTTATTATATGGGATTAAACTCAGCCTCATTTGCTAGGCTTGTTTGAATTGACTTTTGGCTTATGACTTATAAATCAAATGTCATAAGTTAGGATTTCTAACATATGATTTTTATTTTATTTTTGTTATTTTTACTTTAAAATAAATATTTATAAACACTTTTTAACTTTACTCAAACAATTTAAAATTTCTTAAAAGTTACTTTGACTCAAAAACACTTAAAAGAGATTAATCCAAACGAACATTTAATCATAAACTTATCGCATAGAAATTGTGTAATACATTTTATATCTTTTGTATGATTTATGAGTTATTGCACAATAAATAAGGTTATCACATAGTGCTTACCCGATGAACATAAGATGTGACAAAGATTGTGGGTTCGCATGAGGTTTTCCAAAAACAAATGTTGGGAGTTACTCTTTTAACCAAAAAAAAAAAAAGTAAAATCATGTTTGGGGTATTATCTCTAATTCCAAAGGTGATTTAACGACGAAACAATATATAATTGACTTAATTTTTTAAATTTTATAAAAATGACCCTATTTAAATTATATTTCATATTATTTCTTTAAAAAAGTGACATTCAAATAACCAGATATTATTTTTAAAAGTTATATTACAACTCCAATCCTAAGGTGGCCATTTCGAGTTACGGAGAAAAAATGTGACCTCCTTGAGAGGGGTTAAAAAAAAATACAATTTCGTACTCAGTTTCAACTTCAATAAATTCAAATAAATTGATAAAATGTTTAAAACTGTATGAAATAGATTGTATATGAAATTTAATCTATGACGTTCGGTAACTATCCATTTCGAGATATTACTCCTATAGAATACATTTGATGGTATATTTCATGTAAATTAATCAAATTGGGTAATTTGCTAGTTTTTAGATATTACGGGTGTAGATAATATCTGGAAAAATATATTCAAATTGTAAATATATTTTAAAAAACTATAATCAAACACAACTTTAACTTCAAAAAATTAAAATAAAGTAAAAATATATAATTTTGATGGTCAAACTCCAGCTAAATAAGCTTCTTTGAATCCTTAGTAACTGATAACAAGAATAGGTGAATGCGTTTTCCCATTTGTATGTTTGATTTAATGTCTTTTATCCAACGAAAGGAAATGATATACTCAAGTTGAATGTTTGTTTGGTGTTTATAATGTAAATGGTATATAATAGCAAATCATTAATTCAAATTCAATGCTATAATTATAGTTTGATTTAATTGTATCCCATTACAAATTGTTGCTATTTCGCCTCTCTCCTGGAGAATCTCGCTAGCCACTCTCGTTCTCTCCCTTTTCTCTCGCTTTTATGTAAATGCAAATGTATAAAATGTCTTTGTGTTTGTATAAAACGAGAGAAAATTGTATATATACATATATTTCTGTTCTCCTCTCTCCCCTCTCTCCCCTCTTCCCTCTCCTCTCTCCCAGATCTCGCTCGTTCACTCACCTCTCTCACTTTATACAAAAATATAAATGTATTAAATGTGTTTTTGTTTGTGTCTGTATAAAGCGAGAGAAAATTATGTATATACATATATTTTTGTTCCCTCTCCTCTCCTCTCCTCTCCCAAATAAAGCTTGCCACTCTCCCGGATCTTGCTCGATCGCTCACTTCCCTCGCTTTGTACAAACACAAAATTTATACATTGTGTTTGTGTTTGTATAAAGCGAGAGAAAATTGTATATACAAATACAAATGCATACATTTTCGTCCTATACACTTGTGATTATACAAATATGATCTTTTCTTGCTCAGTTTTCTTTTGTGTTTCTCTCTTTCTTGTTTTGTACAATTACATGTTATACAATTGATCTTTTGCATATGTATACCAAAAAAGATTAGACAACTACTTTCTTTTATGTATGGCGAAATTATATAACTACCTTCTTTTGAATACTAACTATGTGTCATTGTAGAATTTAAACAAACTGTCAATAGTCGACTTCTATAATTCAAGAGGCTTAATAGTGAGTCCACATTCGAAAGACATGTTCGATATACTAGCAAGGCATAGGCAGTCCTACCAACTTGAATTATACGTTGGACAATATAAGCTCACACAATATATGTCTAAAACTATCTTAGAGTAGCAGTTTTAGATGTGTTTTTGATTCAGAACTATAGAAATAGATGTGTTCTTAATTCAGAGCTATAGAAATAGATATTGGAAAGGATCAAAATAGTGTTTCTTCTTTGTGTTAAGGCTCAAAGTGATCCTTGAGTTTTCACATAGAGTAGTAATAGTCCCTCGTGTTTGCAAATATTGGTGCACTTTTGGTTCTCATTCAAAATTTTATCTAGTTTTTAGCATTGATTTTATCCATAACCTATGTATGGAATGTGCAATCGTCATTTTACATATTTGGTAGAAATAACAACTTCATATGAAAGTATGTGAGAAGAAAAATACTTTGTTTTGTTTAGTAGAAATCATATTGCAGGTAAAGTCGAGAGGTTCATCACGATAATTTCACGTGCAATAGTATAATTTTTTCTTTTTCTGCAAAGATGTTAAGATGTTCTTAGTTTAGCTGAAGTAATATTTCTAGTGAACAAAACAAGGTGTTTTTCTTATGACCTTCTCTCAGATAGAGTTTTATTTCTACTAAATATATAAAAAGAGGATCGGACGTTTCTTATATAAAATTTTGGGCAAAATTAATGTTAAAAAATAGAAAAAATTTTAGGAAAGGACCAAAAGTGCACCAATATTGCAAACATGAGGGACTATTAGTTCTCTATGTGAAAAATCAAAGATCACTTTGAGCCTCAATCCAAAGATGAGGCACTATTTTGAGCAGACTAAATTATCTTTATACACTGATTTGAAGATGTTCCATTATCCATTCCATATATTCATGATTATCGAAACTCATTAGTCGTTGAAAGCATGTTGTTATCATAAATATTTTATATGTAGTGTCACGTTACATACAAAGTACACTTCACATACTAATCACATACTATATTCTGGTATATATCTTATAATGATGTGGATTCATGTGTTCACTCTCAAATTCATGGATAGATAGGTTACAACTTTTCTATTCTAACATTTGGTGGATCCTCATAATTGCAATTATTTTAGACATTAATTTTTCATCTATTTCATGAATTTTTAGTCATTTCATTCAGTTATACATCAAGTATTTTAACCTATTAGCTATGTTTTAGCTTCTACTTGCAATTCATAAAGTGTTAATCACTAGCAACATGCTAGTATTAAGGATCTGGTTGTGATCACTTATGATCCTAAGTATCAGTCTTGGATGCAGAATCAAATCATGATAGAATTGAATTGGGATTTATGACTTAGCAAAGTGTTAGTGTGTGAGTTGAGGTATTTTAAGTATACAACTAGAGTTATTAGTCATTTTTGAGTAAAATAGTTGAATAGACTAGTCTGTTTGGCGGGCATTGGGGGTGAGTTTCTTTGATTATTGAGTTGTAATCTAAAACCTTGAAATTTAGTGAAGATTGTAAAAATACTACATATTATAAGTTATGATTTAGAGGTTCTCACTATACATCTATGTGTTCTTTATTGTGTCACATATTCTTAGTTATAGTTGTTTGAACCTAAGTCAACAATCTTATAAATATCACCTAATAGAAAATTGGTTAGGGTGATAAAATATTTCAATTGGCATACTAACAAAAGTTTCTCGTTTAAGGATAACTCTTTAAAAAGTATTCAAATGGAAGAACAACCAACTTTTTAAGAAGGATAGTCCACTACTAAACCACTTTTTATCAACGAAAAGTATGGAATTGACTGGATGCAAGACTATCTTATTGAAGAATATCATAACTTGTTGAATGTTATTGTCACGTCTCAAATCCCATTAAGACGGACAGGCACCCGACGCTCTAAAGGCTCGAGAGAACCAGCATGTAACTTGTGCTTACTATGCATATAACCAATCTTAACATTGTGACAAGTTCGCATGGGCTGCTGCAATAAGAACTAAAATAAGTAGACCCAAAACTTATATACAAGACTTGGTTGTTGAGGCCACAACTCGTTAAAACTCAACTGAACCACATACATTAGTCTACAAAGCCTCTAAGAGATAGAAAACCTTAGAGTAGGTTGGGACATACCCCTCCCCCTCCCCCCCCCCCCACCCCCTTATCCTTAACTATAATAAAATTCCAAAATGAATCTACCAAGGACTCAACAAAGATCTGAATCAACCTGGAGCTCACCAAAAGTAGTTGAGGGTCGTGTGCACCTATTGACAAGGTCTAATAGCTAGAGTACCTGTGCCAGCAGCATGAAATGCAGCGTCTCAGTACGAAAAAATTGTACTGAATATGTAAGGCAATAACATAAATAAAATAAGAGTTCGAATGGAACCAAGTATTAATATATGTATGCACAAGTCTGAACAGAAGACCACCTTTGATAACTCTTATGGGACCATGTGTATTACATTATTGTCTTTAAGTTTTTGTTTGTTATTATCTTTATAAGGCATGCGATACGATTGACCAGATGAACAGTGGTAGAAGAGGATGACCTATGTTGGGCATTTAACTATGAGATGTGGTCCTCATAATTACACAAATTGGGATCGGCCCATAATAGGCTTTCGTCCCTGAGCTGCCACCCTTATATGTCAATTCTTTTACTTAGATTCTTTAATCTCTGAGGTTGTTATTTTGATGGTCATAGTCATTTTTTATATTTAGAAATACGGACCAGCAGTAGAATACATGAAATTAATACTTCGAGGCAGTAACAATGACATAAGGAGTTATGTAACATCAATTACTTGTGAGTTTAATGATACAATTCACTTCAACTAACAAAGAGGAGGATTCACCTGACTTGCTTTTGCAAATACCATTTCTATACCAGCACATGAGGGAGATAATTACACAAGTATAGAATAGTGAACATATAATGAAGTAGTTCTATGCACTAAGGAGAGGGGAAAATATTGTTAGCTATTTGGAGATAGCACGCTGCCACTATGTTTCTTTTACTAGGAATAAAACTTAGGAGATTCACTTCATTGATATTAATCGCAAGTATCAGATTTCATGCCAAGGAATATAGAATCAAATAGCCTTATATAAATTATCCTCTAACCAATATAACTATCACGATTCAACCTCCCCTTTTTGGTTTTAATCTACAATTTAAGTCAAGGTAAACTAAAATTAGCAGTTATCTCACCCTGAGACTCGTAAAACAATAGCTAACTTTGACAGATAATGAGCCCATACAACCCTTAAAATAATGTGTATCACCACAGCCTCATTCTCTGTCCAATATATACATTATATATCATTTTCTAAGATTAACCAAGCTACACCAACAACAACACACATAAAAGAATCCCAAATATTCTTTATCATACAACCAATTATTGAACTCACCACCCCTTTAAGTTCTTCATGAAAGCACACCAATAATTCCTCACTCCAACTCACACATAAGGAAGACAAAAATGGAGCAGTCAACTTACCTCAATTTCTACAACTTCTCCTTATAACTTGAATTTTTCTAGAACTTCAACTTCCCTTCACACTTAAACCAAAGAAAAAGAAAAGGGTATGTAAATAATTAAGGAAGTAATCAGTAGCTTTTGGAAATATTCTACCTTTGTACTTATACATGAGCATGAATGACATATTTTCCTAGTCATCCATGGGAGAATTAAGCTAAATCCATGTGTTTTCATTTACCTTGGTTTGTAGATATGAGGGTTTCTTCAAAACTCTAGAAGAACTTTAAGGTTGTTGTTTTAATCTTTACAAGAAAAGAGAGAGAGAAAGCTAGAGCTAATTCTCAATATTATGTGTTAAAATGGGTGAAAAGATCAGCTCATATTGGATTTATATGGAGCTTTATTGACCACAAAAAAAAATCATCTAGATACTCTTTTTTTGGTCCATTTTAAGACACCAATTGGTTAAGTAGGTGATGCACCTGCTTATGTACATCAAGCAACTCAAAAGGTCAAACTAGGTGAGCACCTACTTGCTTTAACTTGGGCTTTAACTATATTTGACCTCGGCAGATTTGGCTGCTGGCCTTTTTTTTCTTTTTTTTTCTTTTAATAGGTTTGGGCCTCAAGTGAGCCCATTAATATAAGCTTAAATTTGATCCATTAAAATTGGGCCTTTTAACTATATCCATATAACTCAAGTAGGTGATGCAGCTGGTAGTTTAATTAAGCGAACCAAGCAGCTCAATTATTTTATTACATTTTCTAAATATTGATCCTTTTTTCTTCAACTTAGCACTTAACTTTAAAATTTAAGCTCAATGACCACCTTACTATCTCTAGTTTAAATACTTCCGTCGGAGTTAACTTATAGTACATGTCACTCCCTGAGCTACCCCCGAGACGCGGACACGAAACCTAGGACCACAAGTGATTCCAAGCTAACCCTGCTGGAATGATCATGAGCATATTACAGATAATAAACTGATGCGGAAGCTAAATCATAACTTATAATAAAAATATAGGAATACCCATATGCTAAAACTGATATATATGAAAACTGATGAGTTTAATACAATGAAGTTACTAACTCAACATTAAGCTGAAACTAAGTATGCCTGAAAAACTGATTAGAAATACTGGGATAAACCCCAGCTAAGTCTAGCAAAACTGAAACTAAATGACTAAAAGAAGACTAAAATGAACTCATGAGTAATGTACTCGAAGAATGAGGACTCACCACTGAATCTGCTGAACTGGAGATCGAGAAATCGATCTATGCGCGATATGGATGCTGAGAACCTGAACCTACATCACGAGAAGATGTAGCGTGTTTGCGTCAGTACTTGAAAGGTACTGAGCATGTAGGATAGAATAAAGCTGAAATAAAACATAAATGAACAATCACAAACGCAAGTAAAATAATTTGAACCTGATATAGAGAGTTATGAGATAACTAAATGAAATGACCAATTTATAACATGTTGAAACTGGATACTGAGTATACTGATAAATGGTCAATGCAAAAGAGTCTGATTGAACTGTGGGAGCTACTAATAATCGATAATAAAACCACATGAGCTAAATGTGGATTTCGATGTATACGCCCCATCTAGAGGACCTAATATACTCCGCCAAAGGTATAAAGACATGTTGGTGTGATCATTAAACTGATTGCCCATAGATGGGACTTACAATGTACTTGGCTAGTAATTTTGAGACTAATTGGGTACGCTAAACCCTAGTCCAACTCGGTATTATGCTACTCCCATGGATTTATGTAGTTAACTAATTATGTCTCAATTTTCTGTAAAATACTGATAACTCAAAACTGAATATGCAAACTGGGAATGCAACATTTAGTCTGACAATGATGCATTAAAACTTAAGCATGCATAATTGCATAACTGAAATATTTGACCTAGCATGTGTAATTCAAAAACTAAAGAAATACAAAGCTATGGTTCTGAAATTCATGCGATAATCTAAGAAATAACATGATAATCTGATTTGGAACATATGTTTTAACGAAATCATGAAGTTCTATCAAAGTTCTAGAAATCCTAGGTTTAATCATGATTAGAGAATCAAGAATCTGACTGAATACTAGGGACACAATGGGTGAAAGGAACCCAATAGTGAAATACCACATACCTGGTGATGAAATCCATGGAAAAATACTTATATTTCGAGGCTGGAACTGTTGGAGCTTGTGGCGTTCTTGAACTAGGGTTCTTGAGCTTTTTTTCTCCTCTCTTGCTTCTAATTTTCTAAGTTTTGATTTAATGATTTGACTTGGATATGTTTTAATTATGTTTCTAGGCTTAAACTGACTAAAATTTGATGATTTAGGGTCAAAACGACGTAACTTTAAACGGGGTGGGAAAGGTCAAAAAGACCCCTGGGAAGGTTGCTGTCGGGCCTCACGACGTCAAGGATTGACGATCCGTCGTGCGCCCGACGCCTCGTCGTTGGGTTCGTCGTGAGGGCCTGTTCAACAGACCTTTACTAAAATGGGCATAATTTTTTACTCGGAGGTCTTATTTTAGCAAGGTCGGTGGCTATGGAAAAATAATTCAATTATATATCTGTGGGTAGGTCATGGGAGACCTAATTCATTTTTTGATAAGAGTTATGATCATTTTAAGTTGACCCAACTGCATTTCCCTTTAATTGGCTGCAAATTTTCCCACCTAAGGACTGTAGGTCCACCTGCAAACCATGCTGGTTATCCATAGCTCTTGCCAGAGAATGGTTGAATGGAGTCTTGATCGACGGTCACGGACTATGGCCCGTCGTTTGACCTACGGACCATAAGTCCGTCCGTCGTCCAAGACTTAATCAATTTTTCTAGGCTGAAATTTTGGGAGTTTCTGATCCCATCGATGGTTGTGCATGACGGACGCTTTAGGCTACGGTCCGTCGATGCCACCGTTGGTAGCACCTGCAGATTTTTTTGAAAAACTAATTTTTGGTCTGTTTTGGCTACGGGGTGTTATAGATGTATCGAATCAATAATAATACTAACAAACACTAATTTAAGAATCAAAATAAATGAGATACATTGTGCCGTTAGCAGTGATAATCATGTAATGACTAATCCAACTATTTCTTTCTCTTTTTTTTAAACTTGTTTTTCAATGTAGATTTAGAACTCGAACATGTATAAACATTGCAAATCAAATACGACTTTAGTTTTTGATTTATAATAATAGATTTCTAACAATATGTATGAAATAATAAAAATATTATTTAATAATAAAATAATCAAATATGAAAAGAAATCCTAATATAATTAAATAACAAAATATTTTTCGATAATACAGTAATTTGTGATTGATAAGGTATATCAATCAATTGATTTTCTTTCTATTAGTTGACTTTTATTTTTGTTGTTATTCTTTTTCCTATTTCTTTCTCCATGTTATTCTCAAATCTCAATCATTTGTTATTTTAAAAAAAAAAAATTCATCACCAATAAGTAAAAGAGTTTTTCTAAATCTTGATTCAACATATAATTTTTTTATGATTCAATCAATTTTAATTTTTTGCTTTTTTTTTTATAAGTTTTTTGCTTTGATCTTGTTTTTTCATTTTTTTAATATGATTTTTTTCTTTTAGAAATAACGATTAATTTTATCAACTTTGATGTTATTTTTACTTTTTATTATTATAATATAAAATTTTACTTTTGAGAAATAAAAAATTATTATTTGAAATTTTGATTCCATTTTTGGTGTGGTATAGGAAGTGATTTGTGGACTGAAATAAGGAAAAAATAAATATTAATTTTGGGAGTTAGGATTTATGTATCAAATGTTTGGAAGTAAAATAAGAAATTTTAGAAAATTTTAAAATTGTTAGGGAATTATGGAAATTGTGAAAAGAAAAGATGTGTATATAGGTAATTTATTCAATTTAAATATCTAATTATGCACATTCAAAAATTAAAAATCATACATCAAATTAAGAGTCATGTTTATGGATTATATTTTATAATTAACTAGTAAACTTAGTCACGCTATGTGCAATCATCAAAATATTAGTGAGTAGATATATATTTTTCATAAATTTAGTCTTTATAAAAATAAAATAATCTATATATATTTTATTTGTTTAGATTACATTTACAAATATAAATTTTTTAATTGAAATTTCATTAGTTAATTGGTTGATCTCTTTGATAAATTCAAGTGTCATTTTTTCGTATACAATTAATAATTGAAATATAGCACAATAATGGGTTAAAAGGAAAGTATCAGTGGATAGTGACATTCTTCACATACATTTCTTTTTTTACCATAAAAAATAAAATAAAGGGAAAATACCCAAGTACCCCCTCAACCTATGTCCGAAATCTCAGAGATACTTAAGGTCCTATTACCTCCTGAACTTATTTTATATGTAATTTTCTACCCCTTTTTAGCCTACGTGGCACTAGTTCGGAAAAAAAGTCAACCATTGTTGGACCCACAAGATAGTGCCACGTAAGCTAAAAAGGGGTAAAAAATTATTAATAAAATAAATTCAGGGGTAGTAGGACCTTAGTATAGTATAAGTGTGTCTCTGAGATTTCGGGCATAAGTTGAGGGGGTACTTGGACATTATCACTAAAATAAAATCAGAACTTTTGAAAAGTAGAATTCAAAAACTAAAACTCACCTTTTTTTTTTTAACATTTAAACAATCTTGATATTTCTTCGAAATGTTAAATAAAATGACTTGCATTTAAACTTGGGGCAGGGCATAGCAAAAAACACAAACCAATTTATTATCAAATATAACCTTGATAAATTTAAGATATACATTATAAAATTCCTTACAAAATCTAAAGAAATGAACTTAAACTTCAAAGTTATAGCATTTACCATAATATGCGGTAAATATAGAAAAATGCGAAAAACATAAATTCAGATGAATTTGGAAGGTGAAAAATAAGTGCAATCACATACTCCTAAGTTAATTTTTTTTTAAATGAGACTAAGTAGTCAATAAATTGTCATGAAATCTCAAATCACTATAATAAGAAAGTGAAAAATATATGCAATCAAATTAATTTGTTTTAGAAGAACATAAAGGAAAGTATACAATAATAATAATATTGTTATGAAAACTTTTTTTTGGGCAAAATTCTCGTGGCCACCATTTCTGTGTGACTGACAATATTAAGAGTAGTAACTTCAAAAGAAAAATAAGTAATTTTCAATGTGCATAAAGTATGCATATTGTACGCTATCCTAAGATATAAACAACATCACAATAAAATAAAACTTGTCACTACTTTCTATTTCTTGAATAAAACCTCAATATTCGCAATATTTCACAAAACCGATAGAAAGACACCTCCCATGTTGATAAGAAAATGGTCGTGGCACATCTAGATCTTGAACTAGTCAATGAAATATTTTAAATAATTTAGAAAGCTTTTACAAGTACAAAAAGTTACCATGAAATATTATACCTTCTTAGTTATGGTAAATCAAATATAAAGTACTCGCTGACATGTG